GCCTCCCCTTTGGTGGCATTTCTGCCTCTCCATTTGGAACACCAATGAAGTTATTAGTTCGGACAGGATTCTGGTAATCAGTATGTACATTAAAATGTTTTTCAAGTTTTACACCACTGAAAGCTTCATTATTTACTGTTCGTGGTTTTCTGTCATAAAAATGATCAGGATCTGCCATTTGAATTTCTCTTTTCCCTCGTTTTTGATTATTATAATCAATGGATTCTTGAAGAAATGGATTTTCTTTTGCCTCTGCATAAGATGAACCTTTTCCTGGTCGACTTTGCATAGAGTTATCTCTTTTTTTAAAAGCACCTTCATTATGCTGAGAACTCAAAGCATATGTAGGCTCTTTAGTTCTATCATATCTTGAATATGGTCTATCACACTTGATTCTCTCTTCAGACCATACTTCATTTACTGAAGAAGTTGGCCTTTCAGAACCTCTGTTTCTAGGTAATCCACTACCTTCGAAAATGGACTTTGAATTTGGAGTGTCTCTTTGAAAACGAGGAGGCTTTTCATTTCTTAGCTGCCTGGTATCATTTCGAGGAGGATGTCTTGATTGATTATTATCTCTTACACCATTTTGTTCCACATTAGAAAATCTATGCTGTGCCTGATGAAGTTGTTGAGGTTGTGATTTAGGTTCTGAAACGTAAAAGTGTATGGCATACTCATTACCATAAAGATGCAACATTAACACTAATTCATTTTAAAGTCCTAACAAAAATTAACAAAATACAAAATTACTAAGCTGCTTTATAACCTTGTTTTCCAACCTTATTGTAGACATTTCCTGGTCATCCACCTTTATAAAGTAAAACAATGGCATTGATCATAAAAAATAATCCAAAGTAATAATAAATAATGTGCATAATTCAAAGTAATTTGCCTTGTCTTTGAATACTCACCATTTTTAATATTTATTGTCCTATAATATAGCAATATCAGTTATTTAGGGAATTCATTTCTCAAAACATTAATCAAAGAGAACAGGAAATTGTTAACTCAGAAGTTTCTATGATATCTGATAAACTAGATTTCAAAACAAAAACCATCACAAAGAACATAATTAAAGGGTCAACAGAACAAGAAGACATAACAATAACAAATATCTATGCACCAAATGAAATAATTTCAAAATATAGAAAACAAACATTAACAAAACTTAAAAAGGAAATAGACAACCCTAGTATAGTAATTGGCATTCCAATTGGCAATTCACAACACTCTCAAGAAAAGATAGAACTTCTAGAAAGAAACGCAACAAAGATGCTGAAGAATTAAACCACACAATAGACTAACTTGATCTCATAGATATGTATAGGCTAATGCACCCCAAAAAGCACAGTACACCTTCTTCTCCAATGTGATGGGAAGTTCTCCAGAATAGACCACATTTTAGGACACAAGGAAAGTATCAAAAAATTAAAAAAAAAAACAACCCACATGGAAATAATACAAAGCATCTACTCAGACCACAATGCTACAAAATTATAAATTAATAACAAGAGGATAAAAAATGAAAAAAAACCCCACACATTTGGAAGCTGAACAACACCTTGCTTGAACATGAGTGGGTACTAGAAGAAATAAAAAATGAAATTAAAGTTTCTTGAAACAAATGACAACAAAAACCCAATTTACCAGAACCTCTGGGAAACAGACAAAGAAGTCATCAGGGGTCAATTTATAGCAGTAAATAAACACATTAAAAGACAGGAAAAATCATCATTGACTCTCTGATCCAACATCACCAACAAATTGAAAAAGAACAGCAAGAAAATCTAACACCCTCCAAAGAAATTTAAACTATAAAAATTAAAGTAGAAATAAATTAAATAGGAAACAGAAAAATAATTTGAAACCATCAACAAAACGAGGAGTTGATTCCTTGAAAAGTTCAATAAAAACAATAAACCAATAGCAAAACTAGCAAAAGAAAAGATGGAAGACACAAATAATCAGAATAAGAGATGAAATAGGCAATGTCATAATGGAACCAACTGAAAGAAAAAGGTGAACAATGGAATATTATAAAAAAACTATACTCAAACAAATAGGAAAACCTAGAGGATATGGACAAATACTTAGAAAACTACAAACTACCTAAACTGACACAAACTGAAACTGAACACCTGAATAGACCCATTACAAAAGAAGAAATTGAGGAAGGAATAAAACAACTTCCAGCCAAAAAAAAACCCTGGGCTAGATGGTTTTATAAGTGAATTTTAGAAAACATTCAGAGAACTGATTCTAAATAGACTCTTTCAGAAAATAGAAAAAGATAGACTTCTCCCAGACTCATTCTATGACGGAAACATATCCTGGATACCAAAATCAGGTAAAGACACCACCAAAATAGAAAACTATAGGTCAATATCTCTCATGAACATAGAAGCAAATATCCTAAATAAAATCCTGGCCAATAGAAACCAACAATGCATAAAAAAAAAAAATTCACCATGACCAAGTGGGATTCATAACAGGTATGCAAGGATGGTTCAACATAAAAACAATCAATGTAATTCATCACATTAACAAAGCAAAGAACAAGACCACATGATCCTATCAACTGATGCAGAAAAGACCTCTGACACAATCCAACATGCTTTCCTGATTAAAACACTCAACAAAATAGGAATAGAGGGGAATTTCCTCAACATAGTAAAAAGTATATACCCAAACCCAAAAGCCAACATTATTCTCAATGTAAAGAGATTAAACACATTCCCTTTGAGAACAGGAACTAGGCAAGGATGCCACTATCACCTCTCCTATTCAATACTGTATTAGAAGTCTTAATGATAGCAATAAGATAAGGATTACTAAGAGGTATCCAAACTGGCAAAGAGGAGGTAAAATCATCTCGCTATATGGATGATATGATAGTATACTTTGAAAACCCTAAAGACTCAGCAAGAAAACTACTGGACATAGTTGACCAACTCAGCAAAGTGGCAGGATACAAGATCAACATACAAAAATCAACTGAATTTCTCTATAGTGACAAAGAGAATATAGAACTGGAGCTAAGAAAAATAATAGCCAACACAATAGCTAATCAAAGGATTAAATACTTGTGAGCAAATCTAACCAGAAACACAAAGGATCTATTGAAAGAAAATTACAAAACATCACTAGAAGAAAGAAAAAGAGGCCTGGAGAAAAGACTTGAACCCTATTCTATAACTAACTCTATGTTCATTGTTTCCAGAGGCATCTGGTTTAGGAAGTGGATGACAATGTGGATTTAACTCTATTTGGAATTACTGGATCAGGAGACATACTGCTTTGGACAAGCCCACTGTTAGGGACGTCTCCAAATAATGTTAGTCTGAAGGCTAAGGTGGGCCTGACTCAGGCCATGGTCTTTTCGATAATTTCTATGCCTCTAATAGCTGGTAAATGATTAAGGATGATAGATGAAGAACTGATGTCTTTGAATTTTAGTGTTAGAGAACAGTGCTGTGGACCCTATGGATCATCAAAGAACAACAGACATATTTTGGGGAAGAGCAGCCAGAATGCTTCTTGAAGGCAAGGATAGTGAAGCTTCATCTCACATACTTTAGGCATGTTGCTAGAAGAGGCTATTCCTGACAAAGAACATTGTGCTTGGAAAGATGGAGAGTCATCAAAAAGAAGGGAAGACCCCCAAGCATAATAACTGCAGCAATGGGCGCAAGTGTGTCAGAGATGATGAGGACTGCAAAGAATAGTTCAGATCTGTTGTTCATAGGGTTATTTTGTGTCATACTTAACTTGATTGCTCCTACAGCAACAACAATTCTGTTTAGGAATAGGTCTCTCTGTTATGTTAATGAAGCGACATCAATGTATGGTAGGTCTTAAAATTTCTAAGACATAGAAGAATATATTGGGCACAGAATCAGGTAAGCATAGATAGGGGAAGTTGTTACTTCACAAGAAGACTGTCACACAAAGAACTAGAGTAGATTACACAGAAGTTGAAAAGAAATAAAGACCATTCCAAAAAGCTGAAGGAAAAAGCTATCCCCTAGAGTTGGTGTCCTGAATGAGTCACCTAAATTTTGAGAAAATAATATTCTGTTTATTATCCACTTGAGGTATGTATGTTATAGCAGGACTAGCAAACTATGACAAGAATAATTTGGTGCCCTCCTCAGTGAAAAAGCACAAGAAAATTTCTGTTTATCATTTCTGCATGGTTGAAGTAAACAGCTTTTACAGATGCTATATAGAACATTATCAAAAATATATACCTTAATCAGTAGTGAATTGATGATACTAAAAAAAATTAAACTCAACTTTATCCAATTAAAGAAAAAAACTAAATATAAGTGATAAAATATTTAAGAATTCTATTAGAATGTAAGTTTAAAATTTTATTTTAATAACATGGCACTACTGAAGTGGATCTTCCTTGTATTTTACCCTATTTAGGATGGTCCATCAGATATCAAGTATTCCAAATACTATACTAAGAGAAAGAACCAAATAAAATTGGTGATATTATGGCTTTTAACCTGTAAAAATGGTATTCATGTATGTTTCAGATTAACCTGAGTTCAGCAGTGTTTCACTTCTGTATATAAATTGTGTGCCATCAGGATTGCAGTGCAGCTTCTTGCCACTAGGTCAGCAGAGGTCCTTCTACTTCTGTCTACGGCAGCAAAATAAAATGCATCTCTGAATTCTGTTTTATGATCTAAGGTTGTTGTTGTTGTATACCATCTAGTCAGAAACGACCCATCGCTAGCCATCAGCAGGTTTTCAGAGGAAGTTAATCGCATGAGAGGAGACTGCCCATCCTCCTCCAGCGGAGCAGCTGGTGGCCTCGAACCACATGCCCTTTGCACTTGCAGCGCAGCTTCTTGCCACTAGGACACCAGCCACTAGGACACCAGAGCTCATGATCTAAGGTAGGATTTTTTTTAAATGAGAGAAGCAGAACAGAAAAAGGAAAATGAAAGATTAACAGATGTGACAGAAAGTCAACAGTACCAAATGGATTTATCATGAGAGCTCTGAAAACACCAAAATATCAGTGATAAAGTTCAAATGAGGAAACTAATCAAAGAATGCTACAAGAACTTATTTGACTAGAGATAAAATGTTCCCATTATGCTAGATCAGGAATTTCAAAATGTACGAATGTTTACAAGATAATTGATTATAGTGTTTTAATCCCCATGATTTGAAATGCAAGAATCATTAAGAATGGATTTATTAATTTTCACAATTCATTTGCACCTGCCTATTAGGATGTACTGAATTAATCAGACATCATAAAATATTAATATTTTTTTGCAGAATATTCATTGTTAAACAGCAGCTGTACCAGCATTTTATAGTCGGGATACTTTTAAATTTGATTTCCCAAGATTATTCGTTATATTCTGAGATACCTACCTGAGGAAAGAAAGTCAAAAGATATTAAGGTTTTACTATGTGCCAGACTCTACGTTAAAGGTCTTCTGCCGATACTCTTGCATATCATTCTTGCAACTATACTTAAAGAGTATTATTATTTTTATTTTACAAGTGAAGGAACAAAGCAATGTGTTTAAAGTTTTCAGCTAAAAAAAGATTGAGCCTACAGTTTAAACTCAATTCTCAATGAAGTCAAACCCTCTAAATTTTCCAGGATATAAAGCTGC